TTTCATCTCAGAGAGAGAAGACTTCTCTCCTCAATTTAAGCGTGTCTCTCAGGAGAGAGACTGACTTCTTCCTAAAATTCTTGCGGTATCTCGAAGAGAGACGATTCTCCCCTCAATTAAGGTGTCTTCAGGAGAGGGGATGATTCTCTCCTCAATTTTTTAGAGGACTGACTTCTCCTCAATTCTAATGCTGTCATCTCAGAGAGAGAGACTGACTCTCTCCTCAATTCTAATGCGTGTCATTCAAGAGAGAGCTGCTTTCTCTCATTCTAATGCGTGTCATCAGAGAGAAGACGTATTTGCTTAAAGTCCATTGTTTTATCCTCAGATGTTGTTTAGCACAGTGCTCTCTTTATCTGAGTTACAATGAGGCACGGCATATTTCTTGTAAATGCAAACACTTAAATAATCTTGCTGTTATAGAGTGTGGTATTTTTCCATTGTCAAACTTGATTCTCAGTCTAGATGATAAGATTGATGGTTCAACATTAAATCCGTTTTTTAGTGCTGTTTGTTATGTTGAATGTTGTTTCTCCTCATGATCAATCACATTCCATCTGATTACAGGGTTACATCATGCTCAATTACACAATGTTGCATTTTGCTCTGTCATATCTCTCTCTCTCTCTCTCTCTCTCTCTCTCTCTCTCTCTCTCTCTCTCTCTCTCTATCTCTCTCTCTCTCTCTCTCTCTCTCTCTCTCTCTCTCTCTCTCTCTCTCCTCTCTCTCTCTCTCTCTCATCTCACATCCCTGCTGTCAGTTTTCTTGAGGAATCGTTGAGATGGGTGCACCGCACTGGTGTTTGCAGTGGACGAGATTAACCGTAAACCCCTTCCTGCTGCCGGGGGTCCGGCTGGGCTACCGTATCCTGGACAGCTGTGGTCAGCACCCCTGGAGCCTGCGAGGGGCCCTGGCCCTGGTTGTCAGGGGGGAACCTCAGCTGTGAAACCACAGAGCTTTCTAACCTCAAATGTGATTTTTAACCACTAACCTCAACCTAAGCATAACCTTTACCTAAAATGTTAATGTACTGAAAAGTATTTGCCAAATAGCCAGTAATATTGTGGAGATCCTACACTAAATGGATAACAAATAGCTCATGTATACTACCCTGTCGTTCTGATTATAGAATCATGTTTATTTGTTATGTGTATCCTGTACAGCACGGCCATCTAGTGACTCCCCTGTTCCTCTGGTCATTGGTGATTCATCGTCCACTCAGGCCATCATCCTGGCCAGGACCCTGGGGCCACTCTCTGTACCTATGGTCAGTCTCTCTCTACACAACCAGGAAATACAGTGGCGAGAAACATGATGATGCCATGATGCGATAATTCATCATGTTTCACATAGCCTAGAATTTACTGAGAAATTAAAAGAGGGTATTTAGTACTTCATTAAAATGTGATTGAAGTTATTGTGTTGATCTGCCCTCAGTCTCTCACTACAACCAGGAAATACATAGCTAGAAATATTGCCATAATGCTTTAATTAATTATAATTCATCTGGTCTGGAATGTAGTGAGAAATGATTGATTTAATGGTGTTGTCCTCAGATCAGTTACCAGGCCACCTGTGGCTGTCTCAGTGACAGACAGGAGTTCCCTAACTTCTTCAGGACCATCCCCAGTGATGTCTACCAGGCCCTCACCATGGCCCGGCTCACCTGGCTCTTCGGATGGACCTGGGTCGGGGCTATCGCTGCAGACAATGACTACGGTCGTCAGGCCATGCAGGTGTTTCTTCATGTTTCTTTATCTTTAAATTGTTTTGTTGGTCGCTGCTCTTCTTTACTGAAGACACTCGTCACATTTATTTATTATTATTTATTTTATTTATTTTCTGCAGGTGTTTCTTTATATTAACTTTGACTTGTGACTTTGACTTTATTCATTCTTGGTCTCTGTTTACAGAAAAACTGAAGAAATGTAGAATTTACATAATACAAAATTGAGAAGAAAATGATATTATTTCTAATACTGGATACTGTTGTATTTTATTTTGAACTTCTACATCGGCTTTAGATCAGTATTTTGACTCTTTGTCACGCTCCATGTGCTTCATATCCCCAGGTGTTTGAGGAGGCGGTTCGGGGGACGGGGGTGTGCCTGGCGTTCTTTGAGACCCTCAACCGGGTGAACCTGGTGAGGGATGTGGAGCGAGCAGCGGACACGGTCCAGGCCTCGACAGCACGGGTGATCCTGGTCTTCCTCTTGTACACTGACATGGGGGCGTTACTCCTGGAGCTGGAGCGCAGAAAACGTGACGGACAGGCAGTTCCTGGCCAGTGAGGCATGGAGCACTAGCGGACAACTCCTACGGAACCCCGCCCTCTTTAACGTCTCTCGGGGCGTTGTGGGTGTGGCTATCCGCAGTGCACCTATGCCTGGCTTTGAGGCCCACCTTCGAAGTCTCCACCCCTCTCGTCGTCCCGGAGATGTCCTGTTGAAGGAACTCTGGGAAACTGAGTTTGGGTGTAGCCCTGGAGCAGCAGATGCACACGGCATGTCTCTGCTCCCCTCTCCCCTTCCTCCATCCCCCTCTGTGTCAATATCACACACCCCTCCTCCCACCTCCAGTTCCCCCCGTCCACGCCTGGCCTCCTGCAGTGGGGCAGAGACTCTGGAGGATGTGCAGAGCTCCTTCACAGACACCTCCCAGCTGAGAGTAACCTATAACGTGTACCTGGCTGTGTATGCTGCAGCCCACGCCCTCCACAGCCTGCTGTCCTGCCCCCAGAGAGACAGCCCTACGTGGGGCAGCAGCGTCAACTGCTCCCCTCCTCACAACATCAGCCCAGCGGAGGTACACTGATCTATTGCATGTTCAGTAGACATGATTTGCAAACACTTCAATCAGTTGGGGGGGGGGGGGGGGGGGGGGGATTACTTATGCCAATGTAACCTTTTTTTGTTAATTAAATATTAATGTCCACTTAATAGTTGCTATGGGGATATGTTTTGAGTTATTACATCATATTAAGAGTGTAATGGTCATGTTTGTGTCTCCTTTCCTCCAAGTTGTTGCAGCACCTGAACCTGGTTAACTTCACCACTCCACTTGGGGAGCCGTTCTATTTCCGGGGCGCGGACATCCCTGCTGTGTACGACCTTGTGAACTGGCAGGCCACGCCCAAGGGGTTGCTCAAACTTGTCACGATTGGCCGAGTAGAGGGTTTCAATATCCTCATCAACCAATCAGCCATCCAGTGGAACGCAGGGTCTAATATGGTGAGAAATACCATTTTTAAAACATGAACTGAATGGTTTTGTTCAATTGAAATTAATATCATTGCATGTACGGCATTTACAGGTGCCTGTGTCAGTGTGCAGTGGGAGCTGTCCCCCAGGCACCCGTGTAGCCAGGAGGAAGGGGGAGCCTGTCTGCTGCTTCGACTGCATCCCCTGTGCTGAGGGGGAGGTCAGCAACACCACAGGTCAGCGAACTGTGATGTGGGGGTATAATATCATTTAATATCAATGAAAGGGAATTCTTAATTAGCTGTGCCATTATTGACCTGATCTCTCTTGAATAATATATTATATCTTAATTAAGACTTATTAGATTGAATAGTAATTATGCTTTTCAATCATCATAGTAATGTGTTCAATCTCTCAGGCTCTCTGCAATGTGACGGCTGTCCTCTGGAGTTCTGGTCCAACGGCAATCGGACCGCCTGCATCCCTCGTCAGTTCGAGTTCCTCTCCTTCAACGACACTATGGGCGTCACCCTGACCACTATTGCCGTGTGCGGCACTGTGGCAACAGCGGCTGTATTTATGCTCTTTGTGTACCACCGCCACACCCCTCTGGTAAGAGCTTTAATGAAGTGTTGAATCCGTTAGGGGATAAAATGGAGAACTCTTCTTCTATGGTGTCATGTACGTCTGACCCTTCTTCTCATTCCAGGTGCGGGCCAACAACTCAGAGCTCAGTTTCCTGCTTCTCCTGTCACTCAAGCTCTGCTTCCTGTGTTCGTTGGTGTTCATTGGGCGTCCGTCTGCGTGGGCGTGTCAGATCCGCCAGGCGGCGTTTGGGGGTGATCTTCGTGCTCTGCCTCTCCTGCCTCCTGGTCAAGAACATCGTGGTTCTGGCTGCGTTCCGCTCAGCCAGGCCCGGTGCTGGGCAGCTGATGAGGAGGTTTGGACCCAGTCAGCAGAGAGGGAGTGTCTTCCTCTTTACCAGTGTTCAGGTGAGAGCTTTAACGTTGAAATAACTTAAAGTCACCTAACTGAATTAATCAGTACTTTACTGTATAAGAGTAAATTGTGTTTGTAATTGTGTTTGTAAACGCAGGTGATCATCTGTGCCGTGTGGTTGTCCATAAGTCCTCCCCTGCCTTACCGTGACCTAGGCCTCAAGGGGTCTAAGGTCATCCTGGAGTGTGAAGTGGGCTCTGTGGTCGGTTTCTCTCTGGTGCTGGGGTACATTGGTCTGCTGGCTTCTCTCTGTCTCCTCTTAGCCTTCCTGGCCAGGAAACTCCCTGACAACTTCAACGAGGCCAAGCTCATCACCTTCAGCATGCTGATCTTCTGTGCCGTGTGGGTGGCCTTCGTCCCTGCCTACGTCAGCTCTCCTGGGAAGTACGCAGACGCTGTAGAGATATTCGCCATTCTGGCTTCCAGCTTTGGGCTACTGTTCTGCATCTTCGCTCCAAAGTGTTTCATCATCCTCCTGAGACCAGAGAGAAACACCAAGAAACACATGATGGACAAAGAGAAAGCACCAAGAAACACATGATTTAATATAATATAGTCTTCATTGTGTTTAATTAATCACATTGTAAAAACAGAACAAAGAAAGACATGATACATTGTATAATACCCAAGTTACATACTTTTCAGACAATACCAAAACAAGTTGATGGACACAAACAAACTTTCCTACCCTGCTTGTAATAAGTCAACAGTGAGTCAACACTTAGTACGTCTTCATCTGAATCACTACATGACTCTTCCTTACCATCATCAATAGACTTTAATGACATTTATTTCTCACCTGAAAGCCAGCTCTGAAAACACACACACCAAGTAATTTAAATTACATACGTTAATGAAAAGTGTTGTTAAATCCTTTCACAATTTATGAGGTGTGTAATTCTCTTCCCATATGAGGCTGTTTCTGGATATTTTAATTACATATCTTCGTCATATGCTAGGGTTAAATAAAAACAAATTCAAGCAGCTCCTTTGAAGTCAGAATGTTTTATTAAATTAAAAATTGCTTTGATGAATATTTAATAATAATTAATCATAATTAATTCATGGGTGAATGAGTGTAGGAGCAGAATCCTTTAGAAGGAACAGGGATGTTATGCTGTTTTATTCCACATGATGTGATGATTCAATCAAAAGCCTTTTTATGCAGAAAACCACTCATTAGGGATAACCTACCCCCTGGGAGATTAAAGCCACACACATATGCAGATGAAACCAAAAGCCTACTTAACAGCCCAAATAACTAAATAATGTATTATCTGATTGATATTTAATCACAGAACATCATAATTATAATCAATAGTAGATCACTGCACATCACTAGGGTAATAACAAAATGAAAAAATATTTTTGTAGCCATCAAACTCAAAACATAAAAGGTTCGCCTCCTGAGTGGCGCAGCGGTCTAAGGCACTGCATCACAGTGCTAGAGGTGTCACTACAGACCTGGGTTTGATCCCAGGCTGTGTTGCAGCCGGCCGCAACTGGGAGACCCATGAGGCGGCCCAGCGTCGTCCGGGTTAGGGGAGGGTTTGCCTGGCCAGGATGTCCTTGTCCAATCGTGCTCTAGCGACTCCTTGTGGTGGGCTGGGCGCATGCGCGCTGACTTCGGTCGCCAGTTGTTCGGTGGTTCATCCGACACATTGGTGCGGGTTCAGCAAGCAGTGCGGCTTGGCGGGGTTGTGTTTTGGAGGACGCACGGCTCTTGACCTTCACCTCTCCCGAGTCCGTACAGGAGTTGCAGCGATGGGACAAGACTGTAACTACAAATTGGATATCACAACATACAATATAAATAAAAAACATAAAAGGTTCTTCTTTCCTTTCCGACAGAAGTGGAAACTATCTTGGGGTGAAAGAAATAGAATGTTGGAAAAGGAGCTACTTAAAACTATTTGAGACCATCATACTCTGTTACAATACCTAACAGCCTACTTTCCTTTATGGCCTCCTGTAGCTCAGTTGGTAGAGCGTGGCGCTTGCAACGCCAGGGTTGTGTGTTCGATTCCCACGGGGGGGCCAGTATGAAAAATGTACGCACTCACTAACTGTAAGTTGCTCTGGATAAGAGCGTCTGCTAAATAACTCAAATGTAAATTTGTGTTGAAAGAGTGACAAGCAAATCCCTAGCAGGCAATAGTACTTCCACCTAAGATCAGCATGCTGAAGGTTATGAGCTTGGCCTTGTTGAAGGTGTCAGGGAGTTTCCTGGCCAGGAAGACCAAGAGGAAGCTGAGGATCGCCAGTAGGCCGATGTAGCCTAGCGACACTCCAAACCCTGCTACTGACCCCACCACAAACTCATATACAATCTCATCATTATGGTAGCGTGTGTTTTTGTGTGGAGTTGGAGAGGCTGAGACCAGCCAGGCTGTGAAAACCAGGACTGTTCTTCTCTGCTGCCAAGCTGGTCTCGCCCCCGGGCTTAGAGGTCCTAAACACAGTCAGCATCACCATGGAGACACAGAGAACAAAGTTGATACCAAACGCTGCATGCCTCAGCTGACACGTCCATAGCCGGGGCCGACCAATGAACAGCGAGCACAGGAAGTAGAGTTTGAGTGACAGCAGAAGCAGGGAGCAGCAGTTATTGGCCTTGTGGTGTCCGAACGATGCTGCGATGATGTGTTGATAAGAAATCCGCTGACACTGTACTTGATTATAAAGGTTTATTATATCAAAGATTTCAGTATCAATTTACAGATTCTGCAGAATCTGGAGAGCAACAAACCCAATCTTAAATATGTTCACTCTCTCCTTCCTTTGTTCAAACATGGTATATATATATCCTATGCCCTATGTAACATAAGATGGCGTGCTTTGAATAGACCAATCCCTGGCCTCCACATAGCCAAATGTCCTCTGTTTTAGGGGGCCCCTATAGTAACACTTTCCACATATTTCAGCAAAGTAAAGTAAAGTTCATTTAACCAACAATATGAAAACCTCAGATACTACATATTTCCCCCCTTCGAGACTAATTAAGTCTCGAAAACAAAAAGAATAGGATTATGACAAATAACAATTTTTATTACATCAGGCTTCTTGTGTAACTTTTAGCAATAAAACCAAGTTTATGGAGTGTGAACACATTTTTATGGAGTGTAAGAGCGAAAAACCTGTCTGGCAGCTTTCTTTCCAAATATCCATCAATCAATCAAGACAGTAAAATTCTCTCACGGCCCCTCTGCCCCAGGCGACCACCTAAGTACTCCAGATCAATTTATAAATCTTTATCAATGCATTTTAAGCTATGATGCAATCGAATACACATGAAAGCCTGAGAGAACAAAATACAATCAAAAACCCGTCCACATTCAGGCTTGTTCGACCCATCCGACCCTCCCGTGGATTCTCTCTGTCCCTGCCTAGACCCAATATCCCTAAGCGTCAAAGAAAAAACCTAAAAACATCTGAGGTCCCCACATGTACCCAACAACAGAAAACATCATTCTTCAAAAAATTTATACAGAAAGAATATGACACAAATTATGTATTACACATGCAAATATGTATATATATATATATCATTGCAGACACTGGAATGTAGTCCACTACACTGCAGCTCCTCAGCAGTGTCGACTTTCAATGCAACGTCGATGATGGAATCTGAACATTTCCACACCGTCCTTGTTCCACTTCCTCCAGTCCATTCATATTGTCCATGTTTGAGTATTTGAATCCCACTCTACACATTCCCCATATGCTTCTGGAAGAAAAGAAAACACCAACCAGTATCTTTTGCAAAGCAACACATGAAAATTAAAACATCAATATCAAAAATAATATATAAAAATGATATATAAAAATGATATATAAAAATGAATCACATTCCATTTCCCCCCTTTGATTCATAAGAAAACAGTAAATATCACAACAATATGCAAAGAAATGTGAAAATTATCGCACAATCAGATATTCAAAATGGATATCTATCCATCAATACTCCATCCAGTAGCACTTGTTCATCTCCATCTAGATCAGTCACGGTTAACAACGGCATCTGAGTGTTGTCTCCAGGCATCACAACTCCAACCCATCTCAATATCATAACCTTCGCAAAAGTCAATAACAAAGACTTTCCTAGAGTTACTTCAACCCTAGTTTTCGTAACGTTTTGGTCTGACTTTTTTCCGAACTGGTCTGGGGCTACTTTGTCTAACCGTATCACCAGCTTCTCCTGTAACAGAGTTGCCCTTGGTGATCTCTGTGGTTTCACATTCCACTGAAATATGCCCTGTTGTTTCTGGGACGTATTGAAAATCAATGTCCCCAAATCTCCTTTCCTGTCCATCCATTGCAGAGTCGTGTCTGGCATCATCAGAAGTGTACACATGATCATCAACGTTGTCCACAGCATGGAAAATCTCTCCGTCTGGGTTTTGACTCTGAAAATTGTCATGCATCTCTCCTTCTGTCTGTTCTTCCCTATCTTCATCCTGCTCTCTTGAGCCTTCAACATCTTGGCTCTCTGCGCGTGGCACCTCTTCTCTAGGCGCTTTAACACAATGTGACAAATGATACCACGTTGGAGACCCTTTAACCTGGACAGCCGTTCCAGTACGACGAACAACTTCAAATGGTCCCTCACGGCGTTCGTTATACCACTTCCTTCTAAATACCTTCACGAACACCTTGTCCCCAGGTTGCACTGTACTCCTTTTTTGCTCATTGAGCTTCTCCTGCACCTCTTCTTTTCTTTGCCTGTCAGAAACATATGTGGATAACTTTTTATGAAAATTGGCCATATATTTAACATACGCTCTCATTTCATCTTCCAAAAGAGCCAAACTTGGACCCTTTCCACTTGTTCGCAAACAAGGCGTAGGCATCCTTCTTCCTGTGACCAGTTCATGGGGTGACATACGTAGATCATGCAACTCACTTGAGCGACACACCATTAATGCTAAAGGAAGCGCCGCTATCCAGTTTAGACCCGTATGCTGGCAAATCTTGACAATGCGATTTTTCAAAACACCATTATTTTTTCACAAATACCTTGACTTTGTGGGTGATGAACTGCTCCTAGACGTTGCTTAATTCCCAATTTTTGCAAAATCAATTTAACTGATTTATCCACAAATTCTTTCCCATTATCTGAGGATATTCGATCGGGAAATCTCCACCTGCTTATGACTTCTTTACACAAGAACTTGGCAACCGACTGAGCGTCTTTTCGCTTGGTTGGACAGGCCTCCGGCCATCGTGAAAATCTATCCACAACCACCAGCATGTATCTTTTCCCTTCAACTGGTTTTATCATATCAACAAAGTCGATACCCAACTCACGCATAGGACCTCTCGGTGTTGGAATGTGACCAGGAAGAACAGTCACACCCCTGCGAACATTATTTTTCAGACAGATTGTGCACCTGCCTATGACATAGTCAACCTGTTCAAGCAAATATGGTGCCCAAAAACCATACTCCTTTGTGATTTTTCTCCTAACCTCCCCCCTTGCAACATGAGCTAACCAATGTGCTTCCTGAATCATCAGACCTAATAGGTCTAGAGGCGCTACTATCAACCCCTCATGGTTTCTCCAAAGACCCGTAGCATCTTTGACGGAACCTCGGTCTAGCCATAGCTGTTTGTCAATCGTAGAAGCAGCTTCCTGCATCAAAATCACATCCTTAAGCGTAATTTTGTCTTCCAAGTCCACTTCATGAGTGACCAGAAAAACCTTGCCCAATTTGTCCGCTCCTGTGACGGCTTTTGCAGCTTCATCAGCAGCTTTGTTCCCTTGTGTGACTTTTGACACATCTGTTTTATGAGCTGCACACTTAGCTATCGCTATCTCTTTAGGCTTCATCATAGCATGCAACAGTTTCATTATTTGCGCATGATGTTGTATCGGAGAACCATCCATTTTCTTAAACCCTCAACCTTTCCACACTGCTCCAAACAAATGACATACACTATGTGCATATGCAGAATCAGTATATATTGTCACTCGCTTTCCTTCTGCTAACAAACACGCTTCTGTTAGCCCCACAAGTTCAGCAAGTTGTGCGGACGCAGGCTGTGGTATTACTTCAGCCTTTTCAACAACAAATCCAGTTCCTTGGGCTTTAACTACTACATAGCCAGCACACAATTTATCTCCCACACGATAACAAGACCCATCAGTCCAATACTCCAGGTCTGCCTCACGTAATGGAAGGGCTTGCAAATCTGATCTAAGCCTCGAGTATTTCTCTGCTTCTTGAACACACTCATGTGGCTCACCATCCTCTGAAGTTGGCAAATTCTCGGCTGGATTCACCATATCACACCTCACTAGGGTGACATCTTCCTGCTCTAAGAGCCTATGATAGTCTCTGAGCCTAGGCATAGTCAATGTATATTTTCCATAGTTCAGAAGATTTCTGAGACTATGATGGGTAAGAATTGTTACTGGGTAACCCATCGTAACAGATGATGCTTTGTCATACATTAAATATACTCCCACCATTGCTCTGTAGCACAGTGGTAGCCCTAGTTCTACTTCTGAATAGGCAGTAGAGTAGTAGGAAATAGGTTGAGGATTCGTCCCTGTACCTGTTGGCTGACAAAGAACTGCACATGCATATTTACCTCCAGTAGAAGTAGACACATATAGCAAGAAATTCTTACAGTAGTCTGGTAGTGTGAGTGCTGGTGCCTCTTGTAACCTCTGTATGATCGTTTCAAATGCTACAAGGCCTTCCTGTGTCCAGGAAAGATTGCTATAGAGTTGACAATTCCCAGTATCTTTAACCATAGCTCTCAAAGGTCACATCAAACTAGCATAGCCCTCAACCCAGGCTGAAGAATAATCAGCAATAGCAAGAAATGTCATCATCTCTCTGACAGTTCTAGGCTTCGGAGCCTTACGAATAGCTTCCAATTGACTGTCAAAAATGCTTCTGTGTCCATGCATTATTTTCTGACCCAAATAAACGACCTTCTCCTGGCAATATTGCAACTTTTTCTGTGAAACCTTATGCCCCTTTTCTGCCAATACCTGTAGCAATTTAATTGAGTCTTTATGACATGTTTCCTTATTCTGTGAACAGATAAATATACCATCCACATACTGAATGACAGTGCTTTGCAATATCTGATCTATCCCTACCAAATCGTCCTTCAGTACTTTATTGAAAATGTGAGGGCTATGCTTGAACCCCTGTGGCAATCTCCTGTACTCATAGAACTGTCCATTATATGTGAACCCAAATAAACCCTGAGTTTCTACACTAAGTGGAACACAAAAAAATGCACCACATAAGTCTAACACCGTGAAATGTGTAGCCTCAGGAGGAATATGGGATAACAAGGTATGCGGGTCTGGCACTTCTGCTGGAAAATCAGTCACTACCTCATTCACCGCTCTCAAATCATGAACCACACGATAAGTCTCATCGGGTTTCTTCACAGGCAACAAAGGCGTGTTACTCTGAGGATTTTTTATTGTCTTCAAAACACCTGCTTTCGAAAGTCCTTCAATTTGTGGTTCGATCCCTTGGATTGCTTCATCTTTCAATGGATACTGATTCTTCCAAGGAGATCTGGCTCCTGGTCAAAGTTCAACTTTCACCGGTTGGGCTGATTTCACTCCTCCAAATCGCCAAATTCTCTTTCATCGGTACAAAAACAGCTTTCTCTGCTTCTGTCATCATTTCTCCTATATGCTTCTGCTCATAGTCTTCAGAAACCAACAAGGTCACATGTGGCACACTCTTCTCAATCTCAAATTCTTTATCCAGATAATCGTCTGTGTTTATCTTCATAGCTGCTCCTTGTGGTCCTAAAATTATGCAACATGAGCTGAGTTGAACTTTCTTTGGTTGATGACTCAACCATTCCTCTGAGTTCGATTGGGCAGCATTCTTGAAATACTTGAGCGTACAATGAAATTGATATTCCTGAAGCCTCGCATCTGGCATGTTTGCCACAATGAATTTCTCCCATATCTTAGCTGGCTTCAAAAAATCTGCACTGAGATTTCCAATCCAAAATACTGAAGAAGAGTCAATCTCTGTCGTCATCAACAATTGGTAAACCGTTTCTTTTGGCATTTCTACCAGACAGCCGTCTGGCGTACATTTTATTGTACAATTCAATCTACACAATGCATCTCTTCCCAACAATGCAATAGGTGTATGTTCCGATACCAGTATGGGTATTGTAGTTTTCTGATTTTTATAGCAGAGCTCAATTGGTTCCGTAAGAGGAATCAGCTGTTTCACTCCCTCAAACCCGATTGTCCGAATCAGTTGATTGGACATAGGGAGATGTGTAGCATCTTCAGGCCGAACACAGGTGAAAGCAGCTCCGCTATCCGCCATCTTTTCAATGGTCGGTTGTTTACTTTCACCTCAATTGTTGGATATTTTTCCGGTCCTGATGCTACCAGCTGACACCCCCCTTTCGGATCTTCTGGGCACCTCTAGAATCCTGGCTCCGGGCCCCTATAAGGGTTCACCGGTCCTCCAAATGATCTTGACTGGCCCCTGTATCTTCCTCTGAAATTTCCTCTGGTGTTTCCTCCTGGCCCATTACACTCACGGGCAAAGTGACCAACCTGTCCACAATTATAACACACTTCTGAAGATTGCTGGAAGTATGGATTAAATCTTCCTCCTCTTCCTCTTCCTAAACCTTCTCGTCCTCTTCCTCTCCAATTCTGTGTCTGTCCGGAAACTGGCTGTGGATATGAAACAACTGGTCCCACTAGTGGTGGCTGGGACAATTGCGGTTGGACCTGGTTCGGTTGAAGCTGTGGCAGTGATTGTTGATTTGGTGAACACTGATTCTGCATAACCAAAGCCTGTTTCTCCTCCGTCTTCTTATTCTCCACCAGTTGTATTTGATTGAGTTTTCTGAGAGTTTCTTGGTCCTGTTCTTTCTGGTTGTGTTCCTTTTTCCTGTATAGATCCACTTGATGGGCTATATGATCTGTATAGATACCTTTTGCCATGCTTCCAAGTCCAACCACCTCTGCCAGTTTGCTCCTTACTGGTGAGGGCAGCCCCATCTGCAGTTTAGCTCGCAAAATTGACTGCTCTATTTGACTCACATCTGGATCATTTCCGGTAATATTTCTCCACACTTGTTGAGCTCTTGACACATAGGCTCTCGGATTTTCTTGTTGTCCTAGTGGGTCAATCAGAATGTTGTCAGGATGCACATTTGTTGGAAATGTATCTTTCAGTGCTCTCCACAGTCGATTTCTACTTGCAGCTAACAACTCAGGATCATTCACCGCAGTCCCCATATATCGATTAAGTCCAGCTCTCTGAAAAAATTATTCCATACCTGGAATCCCAAGGAGATTAGCCAAAAGTATCTTAATGTCTCCTATGGCAGACTGTGTTCCCACCGTAATTTCTTCCAACTTTGAAATCCAAGGATATGCTCCATCTTGAAGAGTAGGCAGCTTCTCAAGTATATCTGACATATCGGTATTCTGCAAAGGCTTATACTCCAGGTTCTGTCCTCGGATTATCACTGGCATCATCTTCTTACTTGTGCTCCCTTTTCTTGGCCGCAATGTATACTTCCTCTCCAATTTTTGGGATCCTTTTTTCAGCAGTTTTTCCTTCTGTATCTTCAGCTTCTTGAGTTGTTCTTCCAATTCTCTTACTTCTTCTAAATTATTCGCCTTATCCAAGCATGACATGCATCGATCCATATCTCTTTCTATTTCTTCTGTGCTAGTCATTGTAGGATAAAATCCTCTTGAACATGAAGCACCTTTAATCTCCAAATCTTCATCGCTGTCTCCATCTTCACTTTCATCAGAGGTCGAATCTCTTGTATCCTTATTCTTCCAACTTCCATCACCCCTTATTTCCGCTCTGGCCAACCTCCATCTGATCACAGGGTCATATCCACCCATGATCTCTTCTGAATCACTCTGATCATCATCATCATCATCTTCAAATTCCATCCTCCTGAACCTCACTCTACCCTTAGTTTCCAGACATGTCGTTTTGTTCTTACTTTTGGAGTTTGGATTCATCTTTATGGTCATTTCTGCTTGTCCTCTCTCTATTATTCATTCATCTTCATCTCTGATGCAATAATCACCCTCCTGAATGATCACTGGAAGCTGAGGATAGACGTCCTTAAACTCTACTTCTTCCTCGTAAGGTCTTTTTGCTGAATCCGTATGTGAGAAAGGTGTATTGACTTCTGCCATTCGTTTTTCTGTTACCTTCGCCTCTTTTGCCATTTTCTCTATACCTCTGTCTCTTTTATCTTTTGTATCTTTTATCCGTTTTTGTCCCTCATTTTCAAACAACTTAAGAACACCCAGCTCTCTTTGTCTCTTTTCTTTACGTTGTTCCCCCTTTTTTCCCTTCTTTTGATCTGCCTTATACGTGGACACAAGCACTTGCATTATTTTTATTACGTCTGGGTTAAGAGTCCCTTCCACTGGCCATGGTTGTTCAATGTCAGGCCAACGTTTATGCCATTTTCCAGATAACCTTGCAATACCATTAACTAGAGGATTACTCTTTTGCACTACATCAACAGGAGTAATTACTTTCATAGTTTTTATGTTCTTTTTCCGCATTGTAACAACTCTTTTATATTCCTTTATTGTGAATAATTGTATTATTATTATTATTATTATTTTAAACTAATTAATTTGTAAACCAAAAAATACTTTAAGCTATGTAGCTTATCTTTCCCTCCTATTTTATTTATTTATTATTATTATTATTATTATTTATATATATATATATATTTTTTTTTTCTCTACCAAATTATTGATTAGTGGCAATCTTACCACATCCGATAAAGAAAAGTAAAGGAAACTGGTCAACTTCAGAGCAATCAAAAAAGAAAGACTTGTAATCCAGCAACACTACAGCACCCACAAACCAATTGCTTAATAAGCACCCAATCACCTTAATTTTACAGAATAATCTCAGTGCTGGATTTCCAACACAACTCTAATCAAAACAACCCATGCACAAAGAAAACTTCAATGTGCAATTCTCAATTACATCAATTGATCAGTCTGTTGCCAAGTCCCTGTTAAATGGTCACAACCACAACATGAAATATTTTAGGCATACACAAACAGATAAATGCCCTTCATCTATAATATCCTGTAAGGGAAAGTAAGTTTGTGGATAGAACAGTACTGGCCATAATTGGACTGGATCCGGGACAGCACACGCTGTCGCGTGACGCACTGGTCAGCACCTCCTCTCTCTCCGTCTCCTCCTTCTCGTCTCTCACACCTCAGGGGAACAAAAGAAACAGACAACAATTTAGTATTTTATGTACTCACTGGGTTATTTCAACCATACAATACATATATTAAACTATTGGAGTAATCATCATATATGTTTTCTTAGTCAAGCAACAACCACTTAACAAACCAAATACTTTATTCGTGTGTACTTAAGTCTCCCCCTTTCTTGTTTCAGCTATAAGTCTGCGTGTCACAGCAGCTCAGTGCAGGCAGGGGAGTGGCATATTCGTTCTGTGTAACTGTAAACTCCTAGAACTCCACACATGCGCAGTTCATTTATTAGTGTATCTTCAGAGTGAGATGAGCACTCCCGCAAGCAATTTTTCTCTGAGTCAAACAGCAGACAGACCAGCTGTCTCTACGTTCTTTCCAACAAACCACATTTACCACACAGACAAACAGTAACACTGAACAAAACGCACAAACCAACACAAAACATAGAACACAAATCCTACTTCGAAGTTACTTAACTTTACTTTAGTCTATTATCTCTCTCCTCTTTCTTCACCCATTCTACTCCAATCTGCAGATGTATACTTATTTTCTCATCCATTACAAATCCTCTCTATACAATCATAACGTCCTCCCGGGGGCTCATAGATTTTGACAAATTTGAAAACGTTCTCTCAAATCGAGACTCATAAGGTTTTAACCGTAATTAACAGATTTCCTTACAAAAAACTAAAACCCCTGTTCTCAACCAAACCATATATATGTATATATATATATATCTAACATAAAATCTTATCATAGCATGAGTCGAGCATATAACTCTCTGCACAATCCACACAGCTGAAACACAGCAGAGACATCTTTCATTGCGCACACACACACTCTCTCTCTCACACACACACACTCTCTTTCTCACACACACACACTCTCTTTCTCTCACACACACACATGAAAACTACCCTAAAGCATGCGTCCGCCGCTCCTTTTCCTTTATTTTCCTTCCTAAATTTGTGCTACCTTGAGTTGCAGATATTCAATGAGAGGCTACTTCGGACATATAGCTCGTCAACTATATACCGAGAGGTAACATACAATTGAATGTGTATTCTACAATCTCACAGTTCCTTGGAACGGACCAATGGTTTACACTGTTGCTTTTTCAGTAGTGAAATATGCTATATCACTTTTCAAATGACCTTTTGTGACTCAACTTTTATCGTCCAGTTTGAGCTCTGTTCCTGCGGGGGGCTGATTCGTCGACCACACCCAGATTCTCCAACTGCACGCTCCCACCCCGTGGTGAAGTTAACCCTCTCCAGGTAATGGACCAGCTGACCAGAGGAGGGGGATGGAGGGAAGGAGGGAAGAGAGGGAAGGAGGGAGAGGATGTAGAGAAATACAGTATGTAGTCAGCGGACCTTGACAAAGAAAAGAGTAAACAGAAGTAAACAGTTGGCAAAGTTTCCGTCTGCACCTGTGTGCCTACAGTGAGGGAACAAAGTATTTGATCCCCTGCTGATTTTGTATGTTTGCCCAATGACAAAGAAATGATCAGTCTATAATTTTAATTTTAATTGTAGGTTTATTTGAACAGTGAGAGACAGAATAACAAAACAAAAATCCAGAAATGCGCATGTCAAAAATGTTATAAATTGATTTGCGTTTTAATGAGGGAAATAAGTATTTGACCCCCTCTCAATCAGAAAGATTTCTGGCTCCCAGGTGTCTTTTATACAGGTAACGAGTTGAGATTAGGAGCACACTCTTAAATGGAGTGCTCCTAATCTCAGTTTGTTACCTGTATAAAAGACACCTGTCCACAAAAGCAATCAATCAATCAGATTCCAAACTCTCCACCATGGCCAAGACCAAAGAGCTCTCCATGGATGTCAGGGACAAGATTGTAGACCTACACAAGGCTGGAATGGGCTACAAGACCATCGCCAAGCACCTTGGTGAGAAGGTGACAACAGTTGGTGCGATTATTCGCAAATGGAAGAAACACAAAATATCTGTCAATCTCCCTCGGCCTGGGGCTCCATGCAAGATCTCACCTCGTGGAGTTGCAATGATCATGAGAACGGTGAGGAATCAGCCCAGAACTACACGGGAGGATTTTGTCAATGATCTCAAGGCAGCTGGGACCATAGTCACCAAGAAAACAATTGGTAACACACTACGCCGTGAAGGACTGAAATCCTGCAGCGCCCGCAAGGTCCCCCTGCTCAAGAAAGCACATATACAGGCCCGTCTGAAGTTTGCCAATGAACATCTGAATGATTCAGAGGAGAACTGGATGAAAGTGTTGTGGTCAGATGAGACCAAAATGGAGCTCTTTGGCATCAACTCAACTCGCCGTGTTTGGAGGAGGAGGAATGCTGCCTATGACCCCAAGAACACCATCCCCACCGTCAAACATGGAGGTGGAAACATTATGCTTTGGGGGTGTTTTTCTGCTAAGGGGACATGACAACTTCACCGCATCAAAGGGACGATGGACGGGGCCATGTACCGTCAAATCTTGAGTGAGAACCTCCTTCCCTCAGCCAGGGCATTGAAAATGGGTCGTGGATGGGTATTCCAGCATGACAATGACCCAAAACACACGGCCAAGGCAACAAAGGAGTGGGTCAAGAAGAAGCACATTAAGGTCCTGGAGTGGCCTAGACAGTCTCGAGACCTTAATCCCTTAGAAAATATGTGGAGGGGGCTGAAGGTTTGAGTTACCAAACGTCTGGCTCGAAATCTTAATGACTTGGAGAAGATCTGCAGAGGAGTGGGACAAAATCCCTCCTGAGATGTGTGCAAACCTGGTGGCCAACTACAAGAAACGTCTGACCTCTGTGATTGCCAATAAGGGTTTTGCCACCAAGTACTAAGTCATGTTTTGCAGAGGGGTCAAATACTTATTTCCCTCATTAAAATGCAAATCAATTTCTAACATTTCTGACATACATTTTTCTGGATTTTTTGTTTGTTATTCTGTCTCTGACTGTTCAAATAAACCTACCATTAATATTATAGACTGATCATGTTTTTTTTTTTATTATAGACTGATCATACTTTTTTCCCTCACTGTATGTGTGTGTGAATGTAAGCCACCTGCCAGAGCTCCAGTCTCTGTAGGCTGGCACAGCGGTGCCCACTGAAAGGTCCTCTCCTTGGCACACGCTGCAGTACGTCATGCAGGACATGGGTCAGAGTGACACGGCCACATTATACTCTGGCCTGAGCTCAGACACGTGCCCATAGTTGGTCTCCACATCCCTCAGGTCCTCCTGTCCTGTAAGCACACCACCCGCAGCCTCCACCCAACCTGCACTGAACCTGCACCCAAACACAGCCTCCCAGAGCTGTCTCACCTTACCAGAACAGAGAAGGAAGTGTTATAGAGGAATAACATTTTTTGGGGGTATTTATAATAGGCAATGTAGGTATTTAAAAAGAAAAAAAAAATACTTTTAAATGATAGTAGATAAACATAATGTCTAAAGTATTGAAGGAGTGAAATAAATCATTAGAATGGGGTAAAAAATACTACCTCACATTGCTGTTTCCGGGGTTATTGGCAGGTTGGTCGTCGGGGCGGATGCTAAGCAGGTAGTCCCTTAGGCTGGTATCTCTCCACGACGGATAGTGATACCCAGGGTACCCCCCCAGGTAGGGCATGAGACGGGGGGTGTGAAACACCGAGGAGGAGGTCCAGGCTTCTGTCACGACTTCCGCCGAAGTTAGTGCCTCTCCTTGGGCGGTCGTCGTCACCGGCTTTCTAGCTGCCACCGATCTACGTTTCTGTTTTCCATTTGTTTTGTCTGTATTGTACACACCTGGTTCCCATCACGTTAATTTGTTTCCCTATTTAACCCTCTGGCTCCCTCATGGTGTTGTGCGTGATTGTTCTTTGTTTGGTGTTTATACTGCTGTGAGCTGATGTTGTCACGCCCTGACCTATAGAACTCTGGTTAGTTTGGTCAGGGCGTGCATGTTTAGTATCTATGTTATGTTTTCTATGTGTAGAATCTAGGTATTGGTTTTCTATGTTTTGTACGGGTGTGATTCCCAATCAGAGACAGCTGTCGCTCGTTGTCTCTGATTGGGGTTCATACTTAGGTAGCCCAGTTGCCTACTATGGTTGTGGGATCTTGTTCCGTGTTTAGGCTTGTATTGGGTTTAGCCTGAGGACTTCACGTTACGTTGTTTTGTTGTTTTTGCTCGTGTGTTTATTTTACTAAATAAACATGTATGCATTTCACGCTGCGCCTTGGTCTGACCCGTCCTTCAACGACCGTGACAGAAGATCCCACCAAAAATGGACCAAGCAGCGTGCCCAGGAGCAGACATCCTGGACATGGGAGGAGATCCTGGACGGAAAGGGATCTTGGACATGGGAGGAAATTCAGGCTGGGATGGATCGCCGTCCTTGGGAGGCGACAGTGGAGGCCCGGGTTAGAGAGGAGCAACGGAAACACAGAAGGCGCCGGCCGAGGAGGAAGCCCGAGAGGCAGCCCCAATACTTTTTTTGGGGGGGGCTAAAGGGGTGGTCGGGGAGCGAGAGAGAAGAGCCCCGACCACTGCACCCGGTGGGTTTCCAGGTTGAGTCCCTACGACCATGGGAACAAGAGTGGTAACAGTTTTATACCGAGGAGTCGGAGGATGACGACGACGATGAGTTTCTGTTCCCTAACTCGTGGGGGCTCCCGGAGGAGTCTTCACTGGAGGAGGATTGGGCGTGGAGAGTAAAGGACAGGTATAGTCGTAGACCTCCAGCGCCGGTTCCCAGTCCAGTATGACCCGTTCCTGCTCCTCGCACCAAACCAGTGGTGCGTGTCACCAGCCCGGTACGTCCCGTACCTAATCCCCGCACCAAGCCAGTGGTGTGTGTCCCCAGTCCGGCCCGGCCCGTTCCTGTTCCTCACACCAGACCAGTGGTGCGTGTTCCCAGTCCGGCCCGGCCCGTTCATGTTCCTTGCACCAAGCCAGTGGTGCATGTTCCCAGTCCGGTACGGCCCGTGCCTGCTCCCCGCACCAAGCCAGTGGTGCATGTCACCAGTCCGGCCCAGCCCGTTCCTGCTCCTCTCACCAAGCCAGTGGTGCGTGTTCTTAGTCTGGTCCGGCACGTGCCTGCTCCTCGCACCAGACCAGTGGTGCGTGTGTCCAGTCCGGCACGGCCCGTGCCCGTTCCACCGGTGCCTTTCCAGCACCGGTCAGCTGCTCCACTCAGGAGCCAGAGCAGTCCGCTTCACCGGTGCCTGATCCAGCTCCGGTTGGTTGCTCCACTCCGGAGCCAGAGCAGTCCGCTCCACCGGTGCCCAGTCCAGCTCCGGTCAACGGTCAACGGTTCCACTCCGGAGCCAGAGCAGTCCGCTCCACCGGTGCCTGATCCAGCTCCGGTCGGTTACTCCACTCTGGAGTCAGAGCAGTCCGCTCCACCGGTGCCCAAGCCAGCTCCGGTCAGCGGCTCCACTCCGGGTCCAGACGTCAGCCCCTCTCTAGGTTCGGAGTCTCCCACACCAGGGTCCAGACAGGGATCGGTGCATCATGGGAGGACTGAGAGGGGAAGCTCCGCGTTGAGGTCCAGACCGGTCCAGGGGTGCAACGCGGAGTCAGTAAGGGAGGAGACGTCACGCCCGAAGCCAGAGTCCGCACCTTTGGGGGGTGGGGGGGGGGGGGGGGGGGTACTGTCACGCCCTGACCTATGGAACTCTGGTTAGTTTGGTCAGGGTGTGCATGTTTAGTATCTATGTTGTGTTTTCTATGTGTAGAATCTAGGTATTGGTATTCTATGTTTTGTACGGGTGTGATTCCCAATCAGAGACAGCTGTCGCTCGTTGTCTCTGATTGGGGTTCATACTTAGGTAGCCCAGTTGCCTACTATGGTTGTGGGATCTTGTTCCGTGTTTAGGCTTGTATTGTGTTTAGCCTGAGGACTTCACGTTACGTTGTTTTGTTGTTTTTGCTCGTGTGTTTATTTTAATAAATAAACATGAATGCATTTCACGCTGCGCCTTGGTCTGACCCGTCCTTCAACGACCGTGACAGATGTTATTTCCCTGCGTGGAAATTAGATTTGTTGTTTTTCGAGTAAAGTTTGTCTATTACTCAGTTCTGTGTCCTGCACCTGACTCCGTCCTACCGCTGCACACTGACACCTGACAGCTTCACTGGCGATCCACCGGAGACCCATCACATTCTGCACCACCACCTTGTAAAATGAGTTTTATATTTTTATAATCTTGCCATCAAGAATGCCACAATGGTAATATTTTACAACACTTTTATGCGTTGTTTTATTTAGCTAGTTAGTTATTTAGAGGGGTAAACAGGCTACAAGCAACCCCTTTTCCCTCCAAACATAACGATGGTCATTATGGCCAAACAGTTCTACTTTTTGTTTCATCAGACCAGAGGACATTTCTCCAAAAAGTAAGATCTTTGTCCCCATGTGCAGTTGCAAACCGTAGTCTGGCTTTTTTATGGCGGTTTTGGAGCAGTGGCTTCTTCCTTGCTGAGCGGCCTTTCAGGTTATGTCGATATAGGACTCGTTTTACTGTGGATATAGATACTTTTGTACCTGTTTTGTCCAGCATCTTCACAAGGTCGTTTGTTGTTGTTCTGGGATTGATTTGCAGTTTTCGCACCAAAGTATGTGTCACACCCTGACTTATGGGACTCTTGTATGCTGAGTCAGGGTGTGGAGATCTATGTTGTATATTCTATGTTTAGTTCTAGTTGTTCTACTTCTATGTTAGGCCGGGTGTGATTCACAATCAGAGGCAGCAGTCGCTCGTTGTCTCTGATTGGGGATCATACTTAAGTAGCCTGTTTGTGATCATTAGTGGTGGGATCTTGTTCCTGTATAGGCTTGTATTGTGTTTAGCCTGAGGACTTCACGTTACGTTGTTTTGTTGTTTTGTTCGTGTGTTTATCGTTATATTAAACATGTATGCATTTCACGCTGCACCTTGGTCTGACCCGTCCTTCAACGACCGTGACAGAAGATCCCACCAAAAATGGACCAAGCAGCGTGCCCAGGAGCAGACATCCTGGACATGGGAGGAGATCCTGGACGGAAAGGGATCCTGGACATGGGAGGAGATTCAGGCTGGGATGGATCGCCGTCCTTGGGAGGAGACAGTGAAGGCCCAGATTAGAGAGGAGCAACGGCAACACAGAAGGCGCCGGCCGAGGAGGAAGCTCGAGAGACAGCCCCAAAAAAACATTTTGGGGGACTAAAATGGTGGTCGGGGATCGATGGAGAAGAGCCCCGACCACTGCACTCGTGGGGGCCCAGGGAGGAGTCCTCACGGGAGGAGGACTGGGTGCGGGGAGTGAAAGACTGGTACAGTCGGAGATCTCTAACGTCAGTTCCCAGTCCGGTACACCTCATGCCTGCGTCTCGCACCAAGCCAGTGGTGCGTGTTCCCAGTCCGGCCCGGCCCGTTCCTGTTCCTCGCACCAGGCCAGTGGTGCGTGTCGCCAGTCCGGCCCGGCCCGTTCCTGCTCCTCGCAGCAGGCCAGTGGTGCGTGTTCCCAGTCCGGTACGGCCCGTTCCTGTTCCTCGCACCAGACCAGTGGTGCGTGTCGCCAGTCCGGCCCGGCCCGTTCCTGCTCCTCGCACCAGACCAGTGGTGCGTGTTTCCAGTCCGGTACGGCCCGTGCCTGCTCTCCGCACCAAGCCAGTGGTGCATGTCACCAGTCCAGCCCGGCCCATTCCTGTTCCTCTCACCAAGCCAGTGGTGCGTGTTCCCAATCCGGTACGGGCCGTGCCTGCTCCCCGCACCAAGCATGTGGTGCATGTCGCCAGCCCGGTATGCCCCGTACCTGCTCCCCGCACCAAGTCAGTGGTGTGTGTCCCCAGTCCAGCCCGGCCCGTTCCTGCTCCTCGCACCAGACTAGTGGTGCATGTCGCCAGTCCGGCTCGGCCCGTTCCTGTTCCTCGCACCAGGCCAGTGGTGCGTGTCGCCAGTCCGGCCCGGCCCGTTCCTGCTCCTCGCACCAGACCAGTGGTGCGTGTTTCCAGTCTGGTACGGCCCGTGCCTGCTCTCTATACCAAGCCAGTGGTGCGTGTCGCCAGTCCAGCCCGGCCCATTCCTGTTCCTCGCACCAAGCCAGTGGTGCGTGTTCCCAATCTGGTACGGCCCGTGCCTGCTCCCCGCACCAAGCCTGTGGTGCATGTCGCCAGCCCGGTACGCCCCGTACCTGCTCCCCGCATCAAGCCAGTGGTGTGTGTCCCCAGTCCGGCCCGGCCCGTTCCTGCTCCTCGCACCAGGCCAGTGGTGCGTGTCGCCAGTCCGGCCCGGCCCGTTCCTGCTCCTCGCAGCAGACCAGTGGTGCGTGTTCCCAGTCCGGTACGGCCCGTTCCTGTTCCTCGCACCAGACCAGTGGTGCGTGTCGCCAGTCCGGCCCGGCCCGTTCCTGCTCCTCGCACCAGACCAGTGGTGCGTGTTTCCAGTCCGGTACGGCCCGTGCCTGCTCTCCGCACCAAGCCAGTGGTGCATGTCACCAGTCCAGCCCGGCCCATTCCTGTTCCTCTCACCAAGCCAGTGGTGCGTGTTCCCAATCCGGTACGGGCCGTGCCTGCTCCCCGCACCAAGCATGTGGTGCATGTCGCCAGCCCGGTATGCCCCGTACCTGCTCCCCGCACCAAGTCAGTGGTGTGTGTCCCCAGTCCAGCCCGGCCCGTTCCTGCTCCTCGCACCAGACTAGTGGTGCATGTCGCCAGTCCGGCTCGGCCCGTTCCTGTTCCTCGCACCAGGCCAGTGGTGCGTGTCGCCAGTCCGGCCCGGCCCGTTCCTGCTCCTCGCACCAGACCAGTGGTGCGTGTTTCCAGTCTGGTACGGCCCGTGCCTGCTCTCTATACCAAGCCAGTGGTGCGTGTCGCCAGTCCAGCCCGGCCCATTCCTGTTCCTCGCACCAAGCCAGTGGTGCGTGTTCCCAATCTGGTACGGCCCGTGCCTGCTCCCCGCACCAAGCCTGTGGTGCATGTCTCCAGCCCGGTACGCCCCGTACCTGCTCCCCGCATCAAGCCAGTGGTGTGTGTCCCCAGTCCGGCCCGGCCCGTTCCTGCTCCTCGCACCAGACTAGTGGTGCGTGTTCCCAGTCCGGCCCGGCCAGTTCCTGTTCCTCGCACCAGGCCAGTGGTGCGTGTTTCCCAGTCCAGTACGGCCCGTGCCTGCTCCCCGCACCAAGCCAGTGGTGCTTGTCGCCAGTCCGGCCCGGCCCGTTCCTTTTCCTCGCACCAGGTCAGTGGTGCATGTCGCCAGTCCGGCCCGGCCCGTTCCTGCTCCTAACACCAGACTAGTGGTGCATGTTCATAGTCCGGCCCGGCCTTTTCCTGTTCCACGCACCAGACTAGTGGTGCGTGTTCCCAGTCCGACCCGGCCCGTTCCTCGCACCAGGCCAGTGGAGTCAGTAAGGGAGGAGACGTCACGCCCGAAGCCGGAGTCCGCACCTTTTGGGGGGGGGGGGGGGGGTACTGTCACGCCCTGACCTACAGAACTATGGTTAATTTGGTTAGGGCGTGCATGTTTAGTGTCTATGTTATGTTTTCTATGTGTAGAATCTAGGTATTGGTTTTCTATGTTTGGCCGGGTGTGATTCCCAATCAGAGACAGCTGTCGCTCGTTGTCTCTGATTGGGGTTCATACTTAGGTAGCCCAGTTGCCTACTATGGTTGTGGGATCTTGTTCCGTGTTTAGGCTTGTATTGTGTTTAGCCTGAGGACTTCACGTTACGTTGTTTTGTTGTTTTTGCTCGTGTGTTTATTTTAATGAATAAACATGTATGCATTTCACGCTGCGCCTTGGTCTGACCCGTCCTTCAACGACCGTGACAGATGTTATTTCCCTGCGTGGAAATTAGATTTGTTGTTTTTCGAGTAAAGTTTGTCTATCACTCAGTTCTGTGTCCTGCACCTGACTCCGTCCTACCGCTGCACACTGACACCTGACAGCTTCACTGGCGATCCACCGGAGACCCATCACATTCTGCACCACCACCTTGTAAAATGAGTTTTATATTTTTATAATCTTGCCATCAAGAATGCCACAATGGTAATATTTTACAACACTTTTATGCATTGTTTTATTTAGCTTTATGTGAGATGGGTAAACAGGCTACAAGCGTCCCCCTTTTTCCTCCAAACATAACGATGGTCATTATGGCCAAACAGTTCTACTTTTTGTTTCATCAGACCAGAGGACATTTCTCCAAAAAGTAAGATCTTTGTCCCCATGTGCAGTTGCAAACCGTAGTCTGGCTTCTTTATGGCGGTTTTGGAGCAGTGGCTTCTTCCTTGCTGAGCGGCCTTTCAGGTTATGTCGATATAGGACTCGTTTTGCTGTGGATATAGATACTTTTGTACCTGTTTTGTCCAGCATCTTCACAAGGTCGTTTGTTGTTGTTCTGGGATTGATTTGCAGTTTTCGCACCAAAGTATGTGTCACACCCTGACTTATGGGACTCTTGTTTGTTGAGTCAGGGTGTGGAGATCTATGTTGTATATTCTATGTTTATTTCTAGTTGTTCTGTTTCTGTTTGGCCGGGTGTGATTCCCAATCAGAGGCAGCTGTCGCTCGTTGTCTCTGATTGGGGATCATACTTAAGTAGCCTGTTTGTGATCATTAGTGGTGGGATCTTGTTCCGTGTATAGGCTTGTATTGTGTTTAGCCTGAGGACTTCACGTTACGTTGTTTTGTTGTTTTGTTCGTGTGTTTATCGTTATGATAAACATGTATGCATTTCACGCTGCGCCTTGGTCTGACCCGTCCTTCAACGAACGTGACAGAAGATCCCACCAAAAATGGACCAAGCAGCGTGACCAGGAGCAGACATCCTGGACGGAAAGGGATCCTGGACATGGGAAGAGATTCAGGCTGGGATGGATCGCCGTCCTTGGGAGGAGACAGTGAAGGCCCAGTTTAGAGAGGAGCAACGGCAACACAGAAGGCGCCGGCCGAGGAGGAAGCTCGAGAGACAGCCCCAACAAAACATTTTGGGGTGACTAAAATGGTGGTCGGGGATCGATGGAGAAGAGCCCCGACCACTGCACTCGTGGTGGCCCAGGGAGGAGTCCACACGGGAGGAGGACTGGGCGCGGAGAGTGAAAGACTGGTACAGTCGGGGATCTCTAACGTCAGTTCCCAGTCCGGTACGGCCCGTGCCTGCTCCCCGCACCAAGCCAGTGGTGCGTGTCGCCAGTCCAGCCCGGCCCATTCCTGTTCCTCGCACCAAGCCAGTGGTGCGTGTTCCCAATCCGGTACGGGCCGTGCCTGCTCCCCGCACCAAGCCAGTGGTGCATGTCGCCAGCCCGGTACGCCCCGTACCTGCTCCCCGCACCAAGCCAGTGGTGTGTGTCCCCAGTCCAGCCCGGCCCGTTCCTGCTCCTCGCACCAGACTAGTGGTGCGTGTTCCCAGTCTGGACTGCCCAGTTCCTGTTTCTCGCACCAGGCCAGTGGTGCGTGTTCCCAGTCCGGTACGGCCCGTGCCTGCTCCCCGCACCAAGCCAGTGGTGCATGTCGCCAGTCCGGCCTGGCCCATTCCTGCTCCTCGCACCAGACTAGTGGTGCGTGTTCCCAGTCAGGCCCGGCCCGTTCCTGTTCCTCGCACCAGGCCAGTGGCGTATGTCGCCAGTCCGGCCCGGCCCGTTCCTGCTCCTCACACCAGACTAGTGGTGCGTGTTCATAGTCCAGCCCGGCCCGTTCCTGTTCCTCGCACCAGGCCAGTGGTGCGTGTCGCCAGTCTGGCCCGGCCCGTTCCTGCTCCTCGCACCAGACCAGTGGTGCGTGTTCCCAGTCCGGTACGGCCCGTGCCTGCTCCCCGCACCAAGCCAGTGGTGCATGTCGCCAGTCCGGCCCGGCCCGTTCCTGCTCCTCGCACCAGACTAGTGGTGCGTGTTCCCAGTCCGGCCTGCCCAGTTCCTGTTCCTCGCACCAGGCCAGTGGTGCGTGTTCCCAGTCCGGTACGGCCCGTGCCTGCTCCCCGCACCAAGCCAGTGGTGCATGTCGCCAGTCCGGCCCGGCCCGTTCCTGCTCCTCCCACCAGACTAGTGGTGCGTGTTCCCAGTCCGGCCTGCCCAGTTCCTGTTCCTCGCACCAGGCCAGTGGTGCGTGTTCCCAGTCCGGTACGGCCCGTGCCTGCTCCCCGCACCAAGCCAGTGGTGCATGTCGCCAGTCCGGCCCGGCCCGTTCCTGCTCCTCGCACCAGACTAGTGGTGCGTGTTCCCAGTCAGGCCCGGCCCGTTCCTGTTCCTCGCACCAGGCAAGTGGCGCATGTCGCCAGTCCGGCCCGGCCCATTCCTGCTCCTCACAACAGACTAGTGGTGCATGTTCATAGTCCGTCCCGGCCCATTCCTGTTCCTCGCACCAGGCCAGTGGTGCGTGTCGTCAGTATGGCCCGGCCCGTTCCTGCTCCTCACACCAGACCAGTGGTGCGTGTACCCAGTCTGGAACGGCCCGTGCCTGCTCCCCGCACCAAGCCAGTGGTGCATGTCGCCAGTCCGGCCCGGCCCGTTCCTGCTCCTCGCACCAGACTAGTGGTGTGTGTTCCTAGTCCGTCCCGGCCCGTTCCTATTCCTCGCACCAGGCCAGTGGTGCGTGTCGCCAGTCCGGCCCGTTCCTGTTCCTCGCACCAGACTAGTGGTGCGTGTTGTCAGTCCGGCCCGGCCCGTTCCTGTTCCTCGCACCAGGCCAGTGGTGCATGTCGCCAGTCCGGCCCGGCCCGTTCCAGCTCCCCGCACCAAGCAGGTGGTGCGTGTCGCCAGTCCGGCCCGGCCCGTTCCTGTTCCTCGCACCAGGCCAGTGGTGCGTGTCGCCAGTCCGGCCCGGCCCATTCCTGCTCCTCGCACCAGACCAGTGGTGTGTGTTCCAAGTCCGGTACGGCCCGGGCCTGCTCCCCGCAGCCAGAGCAGTCCGTTCCACCGGGGTGTAGTCCAGCTCCGGTCAGCAGCTCCACTCCGGAGCCAGAGCAGTCCGCTCCACCGGGGTCCAGTCCAACTCTGGTCAGCAGCTCCACTCCGGAGCCAGAGCAGTCCGCTCCACCGGTGCACAGTCCAGCTCTGGTCTGCAGCTCCACTCCGGAGCCAGACGTCAGCCCCTCTCCAGGTTCGGGGTCTCCCACACCAGGGCCCAGACAGGGCTTTGTGTATCGTGGGAGGAAGGAGAGGGGAAGCAGCGCGCCGAGGTCCAGACCTGACCAGGGGCGCAACAGGGAGGCTGAGAGAATGTGGTCGTCACACCCGGACCCTACCCTGTTATGTCAGGTTTGTGCGGTCGGAGTCCGCACCTTTGGGGGGGGGGGTACTGTCACACCCTGGCTTATGGGACTCTTGTATGTTGAGTCAGGGTGTGGAGATCTATGTTGTATATTCTATGTTTATTTCTAGTTGTTCTGTTTCTGTTTGGCCGGGTGTGATTCCCAATCAGAGGCAGCTGTCACTCATTGTCTCTGATTGGGGATCATACTTAAGTAGCCTGTTTGCATCATTAGTTGTGGAATCTTGTTCCGTGTAGAGGCTTGTATTGTGTTTAGCCTGAGGACTTCACGTTACGTTGTTTTGTTGTTTTGTTCGTGTGTTTATCGTTATAATAAACATGTATGCATTTCACGCTGCGCCTTGGTCTGACCCGTCCTTCAACGAACGTGACAGTATGTTCATCTCTAGGAGACAGAAAGCGTCTCCTTCCTGAGCGGGATGATGGCCGCGTGGTCCAATGGTGTTTATACTTGCGTACTATTGTTTGTACAGATGACTGTGGTACCTTCAGGCGTTTGGACATTGCTCCCAAGGATGAACCAGACTTGTGGAGGTCAACACATTTTTTTCTGAGGTCTTGGCTGATTTCTTTTGATTTTCCCATGATGTCAAGCAAAGACGCACTGAGTTTGAAGGTAGGCCTTGAAATACATCCACAGGTACACCTCCAATTGACTCAAATGATGTCAATTCGCCTATCAGAAGCTTCTAAAGCCATGACATCATTTTCTGGAATTTCCCAAGCTGTTTAAAGGCACAGTCAACTCAGTGTATGTAAACTTCTGACCCACTGGAATTGTGATACAGTGAATTATATGTGAAATAATCTGTCTGTAAACAATTGTTGGAAAAATTACTTGTGTCATGCCAAGAGTTTGCAAAGCTGTCATCAAGGTAAAGGGAGGCTATTTGATTTGTTCATCTCTTTTTTGGTTACTACAAGATTCCATATGTGTTATTTCATACTTCTGATGTCTTCACTATTATTCTACAATGTAAAAAAATAGTGAAAATAAAGAAAAACCATTGAATGAGTAGGTGTGTCCAAACTCTTGTCTGGTAGTTTACATACATAACATAAACAGATTAATACATACAGAAACATATACAGATTAATACATACAGAAACATATACAGATTAATACATACAGAAACATTAAACAGAAGGCATTTCAACCCGGTCTGGCACAAAGAGAAGATTCATATGGGAGACAAGCCTATACACAACCTATATACACAACCCATATACACAACCCATATACACAACCCATATACACAACCCATATACACAACCTATATACACAACCCATATACACAACCTATATACACAACCCATATACACCACCCATATACACAACCCATATACACAACCCATATACACAACCCATATACACAACCCATATACACAACCTATATACACACGTGCCATTTACCACAAAGAGGCTACATATTTTTACAATTTAATTATAGGTAGTCCTTTTTCTTTTATTCCAGGCTTTATCTAAATATTCCGCAAACGGAAATACACAATTGACAAAAAAAAAACGTTTCAGTTTCTCCTCATTGCTCAGCCACATAATGCCAGGATATATCTGGTGTGCTTTCTGGAATAAGAGCAAGCGTATATCGTGGTAGAAAGGGCAGTAGAGGATATAATGAGTTTCATTCTCTATTTCTTCCAGGTCACAATTGTTACATAGTCTTCCCTCTTCAATTTCACCACAATACCGACCTGTTTCAATACGCAGGGGCAATATCCCTGATCTTACCTGTGCACATAGCCATCTCTTGCTTTTAGGTAGGTTATACATAATATATATATATATACACACACCAATTCACCCTTAATCAAACAAAAGGTTCTCAATTTGGGTTTATGATGAATCTCCTCCACCCATTTTTGTTTTCATATTTACATTTGAGTCATTTAGCAGATGCTCTTATCCAGAGCGACTTACAGTTAGTGAGTGCATACATTTTTCATACTGCATCAACAGTTGTTTAAAAAAAATAATATCTATGTATGTCTCCCTTAATTTGATTTTCGTACAGATGTTCACAGTCAGACTGTTGAAAAAGGTCAGACATTTCAGTTGCCCAGGCTCCCCCTATGGATAGATGCCATTGAAAAACTGTACTAGCTATTCTGGCAGTTGGCATATCCAACAGTCTATTCTGGCAGTTGGCATATCCAACAATCTATTCCAAAGTCTCACCATACACACCTTCCATCTCACCTCACAGGGTTCCCAGCCCATGTCCCCAGTTATTACAAGTATAGGCGCAAACTTGTGGACACCTAAAAAAAAAGTAACGTACTGCTCTGTTATGGACATGTTCGTTTTTAAGATACATCTGAGCACCCCACACTCCTGCCGAATAGTCCAGAACAGGACACACTGTAAATTGCTCTGGATTAGAGCGTCTGATACCAAAACGTAAATGTATTACGTTAGTGTCCTTTTAGATCATCAACTAAAGAAAATCTAAAGCATCACTGAACCTCGTCCACCAGAGGGAGCAGCCCCATTGGAGAACACCACCACCACATGAGCAGAGGAGCGCTTGAGCTCTCACACAATCCTTTTGCAGCTCTGTGGGGTGGTTGTCCTTGGGCCTTTTATTTAACCATAAATATATACTGTATCTAGACCCTCATGGCTGTCCTCTGTCTCTACCTCTCTCAATTCAATTCAATGCAAAGGGCTTTATTGGCATGGGAAACAAGTGAAATAGATAATAAACAAAAGTGAAATAAACCATCAAAAATGAACAGTGAACATTACACTCACAAAAATTCCAAAGGAATAGACACATTTTTAAAATTCATATTATGGCTATGTACAGTGTTGTAACAATGTGCAAATAGTTACAGTACAAAAGGGAAAATAAATAAACGTAAATATGGGTTGTATTTACAATGGTGTTTGTTCTTCACTGGTTGCCCTTTTCTTGTGGCAACAGGTCACACATCTTGCTGCTGTGATGGCACATTGTGGTATTTCACCCAATATATATGGGAGTTAATCAAAATTTGAGTTGTTTTCTAATTCTTTGTGGGTCTGTGTAAATATGTGTCTCTAATATGGTCATACATTTGGCAGGAGGTTAGCTCTCTCTCTGTCCTGGGGCCTCTCTCGCTCTCTGTCCTGGGGCCTCTCTCTCTCCCCCTCTCTCTGAGACGTGAGAGTGTCAGAGAAATAAATATTGCAGACTTCCAAGCTATTCCACCGTGTGTCCTGTAGGTGTCAGTCACACAGAGCTGTTTTTCTCCCTGTACCTGTCCCTGTCCCTGTCCCTCTTCCCTGTCCCTGTCCCTCTTCCCTGTCCCTGTCCCTGTCCATATCCCTGTCCCTCTCCCTCTCCATGTCCCTGTCACTGTCCCTCTCCCTCTCCATGTCCCTGTCCCTCCCTCTCCATGTCCCTCTCCCTCTCCCTCTCCATGTCCCTGTCCCTGTCCCATTCCCTTCCGTCCCATGTCCCCTGTCCAGTCCCTGTCCCTGCCCTGTCCTGTCCCTGTCCCTGTCCCTGTCCCTGTCCCAGTCCCGGTTCCCTGTCCCTGTCCCCTGTCCCTCCTGTCCCATGGTTCCCTGTCCCTGTCCCATATCCCTGTCCCGTCCCTGTTCCCTGTCCCTGTCCCGTCTTCCCATGTCCCTGTCCCTGTCCATGTCCCTGTCCCTGTCCCTGTCCCCTGTCCCTGTCCCCTGTCCCTGTCCCTGTCCCTGTCCTGTCCCTGTCCCGTCCCATGTCCCTGTCCCCTTCCCCGTACGTGTCCCCTGTCCCTGTGCCGTCCTCCCATGTCCCTGTCCCCCTGGCCCCTGTCCCTGTCCCCTGTCCCCCTGTCCC